TACTATCCTTGTTACAGTTATTTCTGGGGAAATCAACTTATTAAAACCGAAATTGATTAAATCTTATCTCTGGTCAACTTTGTCACAAAAATGATTTGATGGATTTGATTGTTAAATTGAATTATGCGAGTTTGATTAGTAATTTCACAACTAATAATTTGAGTTTTATACTTGAGAATACGAAAGTTCAAAATTTTTAAAATAAAATTTAAATTACCAACCGATTTGATTTTTCAAAAAAAAAAAAAAAGGTTTAAAAATCAATTCACATTACAAGCTTGCTTTAGAATTATCTATCTATATATGTATAAAAGGTCCATATTAAAAACTTGATTTGGGTCTCAAAAAAGTCGGCAAATTTCCCTTTTTTATTGCTTATTCACGCAAGCATTCATTAGAATTTTTATTTTTTTGTTGTTTTATAGAATCTAGGCAATAATCTATTTTTTTGTTGTTTTTAAATTTTGCATTTTGTTGTTGTTGTAGACTCCAGAGTGCTTGACACAAACATGGAGGCATTAGGGAGGAAAATGGTAAAGCTATGTGTTGGTTTACCGTTAGCAATCATTGTGCTTGGTGGACTTTTGGCAAGAAAGCATACATTAAGGGAATGGGAGATGGTATACCAAAATGTTCATTCGCATAAATGGAATGATGACCCAACACAGCATGACAATGGAGTATCAAAGGTGTTAGCTTTAAGCTACCATGACTTGCCTTATCAATTGAAGCCATGTTTTCTATATTTTGGTCACTTTCCGGAGGATTATGGGATTAATGCTGAAAGACTATATCACTTATGGATAGCTGACGGTATAATTGTAGATGATGATAGAGTGGGGGATGAAACAATAATGGATGTGGCAAAACGTTACTTGCGTGCACAAGCACAGAGGTGCATGGTTGAAATACATGTAGACATGCATACTCAAAGGATCAATTATTGCCGCATTCATGACCTTATGCTGGATTTGTGTTTATCAAAGGCAAAATGAATGATTTTCTCGAGATCATTCATCTCCAACGCGAAACTGATCTAGCTGATTGCTTTTCCACCACATCAACAACCACTACTCCTAAAATACGCAAACTTGCAATTCATTTGAGTAGGGATGTCGAAAGAGTTGTCTTCCCTGACTTGGAGACAACTAAACAGCTAAGATCAATATTGTTGTACGATCCAAGAATTCACTTGTGGCCTTTATCTAGTGACGAAAAGTCTTCAATAGAGTTGAACTCCCATGTCAAGTACTTGAAATTGCTTAGGAATTTGGATCTTGAAGGATTTAAGTTTGATGAACAGTCAGTCGAATCAATAGGTAACCTAATTAGCTTGAGGTACTTGAGTTTTAGAAGTTGTTTCATACCTAAGTGGCATTCGTCTATCTGCAAGTTGAAATACTTGCAAACCTTGGATTTACAACATTGCGAGTTCAACCCAGGTGAAGTAATAGTCTTACATGGAATGGAACAATTGAGGCATTTGTATATTCCTCGCAATGCTAAATTCAAATTTGATGGGTTAAGCAACCTCAAAACATTAGGAGGGTTTGACACAAGATCTTGTGACGTCAATGATCTGTATAAATTGATCAATCTTCGGCAACTAGAAGATGCAACTTTCTCAGAGGAGGACAATCAGGACTTAGCGGCTTTCATCAACTACCTAAACATCAGTGCCAACCACCTTCAACATACATCCTTATCAGTTGAATTTTACAAAAAAGAAGAGCTGACTCTTCTCAAAAAACAACTGTTAGGGTGTCACCATCTTTACAAATTGAGTATTAGTGGAATTATTCCCAAGTTACCAGAGTACTGCCAGGGTTTCTCTCCCAGCCTCATCGAGTTAATTTTGTTTAGATGTGAACTTGAAGAAGACCCTATGCTAACATTGGAGAGGCTACCTAACCTACAATATCTCTATTTAGGTAGTGGTGCCTTTATGGGGGACAAAATGGTTTGCTCAGCTAATGGTTTCCCCCAACTCAAAACCCTATCTCTCTATCAGTTGATACTCTTAAAAGAGTGGGAGGTGGAAAAAGGAGCGATGCCCAATGTCTCTAATTTAAAAATTGCTTATTGCGAGGGACTGGAAATGGTTCCAGAGGGACTGAGATTCATTGCTACCCTCCAACGATTTACAATTAGAGGAGCGGACGATAAATTCAATAACAAGCTTCGAAGGGTCAATGGTAAAGAAGGAGAAAATTTTTACAAAGTACGACATGTGTCTTCCCTCAACATTATTGGGTAAATTTCTTAATTCTGGATAATCCTTTCACAAGAGACGAAACAACTGTTGGGTCTCTTATCATTTCTTTCACATCCCCCTCATGTATCTCACTCTCTCTCGTTCGTTGAGAGAGAGAAGAACGAGAGTCGCGAGAGTGAGTGGAACAAACGAGAGTGAGACAGTGAGAAACAGTGCACGGGTTATATATATGAGTGGTGATTCAACTAATTTTTGGATCACTAATGACTTTAATGAGCTTAAAAAAAAAAAAACAAACAAACTCAAGCCAAAACATCACATCACTTTGGTGGGGTCCCCTGTGCCACATCATTAGTGATGCTCTAGTGCTCCCAATTTAGAGCTCTAAAACATTATTGTTTGCCTAATTGGTTTATTCTAATGGACTTGATTGCAACTAATCATTTCTCTCTATTTATTTTGATTTTCAGTCAATATGAAGAAAAAGAACGGGAAGTGAAAGAAATTTTCTGTCGATATGAAGAAGAAGAATGGGAAGTGAAAGAAGAAGAAGAATGGTAAGTGGAAGAAGAAAATACTGGAAGTTAGAGTTGGAATTCATGGTACTTAATTTTATTTTATTAGTTGTGTTACTAGTTTTGATTTGCATAGGTTGTGTTTAGTCTTCGTTTGGCATTGGCTTTTGTAGTTGGTTTTTTTGTGCTGGAACTTTTTTAGCCTCGTTTAGTTTAGTTTTTTTGGCTTTTGTGAGAAAAAAAAAGTATAATAATTATGGTTTGGATGTAATATTTTGTCTTGTTGGCTTATGTAGCCAATTTTGTCTTTTTGTGCATTTTTAGCCAAAAATCTAAAACCAAACAAAGCTTTAAGCTTTCAAAAAAACAACAACAACAACAACAAAGCTTTAAGCTTGAGTTAGATTTCAATATACTATTCACAGCTGTTGGCTTGTATCAAACAATATTTATTTTGTATTTGCGTTATATTTAAGTATTAAAGACTTATTTATTTTAATTATTTATTATTGATTAATTCGTTTTTTTGAATTGAATTGATTTGGTTCAAATGCATGATTCATTTAAATTGGTTCTAAATTTAATGTCAACTCAAACCAAACCGGTCCAATCACACCCCTATATTGGTTCATATCCATTGAAATTTTTTTAATACATGGCCAGAGCAATAAAAGTTGAGATTTTTATAATAGACCCCTTATAATAAGATTTTTTTATAAGAACACAAACGAGCCCATAAGTTTTACTGTGTGGAGGACAACACGTGCAGAAAACACAACCTAATTACTGAATAGCTAATTTTATTTTTTTAACTTTTAAATACTAACTATTAACTTAAATTTTTATTTTTTTAAAGTATTTTTTGGAATATTCTCGTTGAAATCTATTTAGTAGGAGTTCGTATTGAATATGCAATATTGAAGAAAATGTTATTTATTTTCAAACAATGAAATTTTTATTATTTATAAATTATCTTTTATAAATAGAGAAATTTCAAATTAAAAGCTAAAATCAAGAATTAAATGCTACAAAATGAAAAACCATATTTCATTGTTTGTAAATTAGAAAAAAAGTTCACTGTCTAGTGACATCAAATAGAAAATTTTAAACTAGAGGCAAAATTAGCATTAGTTGTTAAAAAGATTGCGATAAAAAGATGCCTCACGCTCACTATCAAGGAGAAACTTTTGTTATGTATGGTATTCTTTTCTTTTTTGTTTTGTTTCCTCCTATGCTCATAATTATTTGTTTTTTACGAGCAATAAATATAAGTGATGGACTAATATATATATATATATATATATATATACTACCAGTCTACACATGCAATGCGTGTGCAACTCGAAAAAAAAATATATATATTATAAGAATAATGATAAAAAAAAAAATGCACATGCTTTACTCAAGTGGTAAGAGCATTTATTATTAAATCCATGGTCATGAATTTGAGACTTGTCCTCTTTGCTTAATTTTTATAAAAACTCCAAATATAAGGGTATTTTGAAAAAAAGAATCAAAATATGTGACAAAAAGTGTCAACACCACTAATAGCCTTCCTTTTATATATTAGAATAGATAGATGTTGGATAGCCATAGGACTTGATAAAAATCTGAGATCCACATTATTATGTACATACATATATTTGTATATAGAGAGTATCATAAAAGAACTGAACGAATTTTTGTTTAATATTTTTTTAAATTACCAATCAGTGCACATGTAATACATGTGTCACATAACCCTTCTAGCAGATAAATCAACATTCAATTGAACTTGGCAAATCCAAATTTCAACGTGTGGCCATTTTGGTTAAGAGGTCCTTGTTTCAAATCATGAAAGGAACATATTTATTTTGTTAAGCTGTGTTTGGATCATGGACTTCGGTTAGTATTTAGAAAAGACAGAATGAAAAACTAGATAAAATATAATTACATTTTACTTACTTTCACCCACCTTTTCTCGTTCCTTTTTCAATTTTATGATCGAAACACAACTTTAGTAATTTAACAAGACTTAATGGAGAAACCTATGGCCAACCTTCCTACTTAGAAACCTTTGGGGGCTAGATATCATCTTTCCAAATCTCAGGAAGGAATATGAAATTAACCTCAAGACTCTGCTAAGTTTGAACAATATATTAGTCTAAACTTGTTGAAAATTTTCTCTAACGGGAGTTAACCTTCTAAAATTTTACGTATCTCCTCAACCTTCATGAGAAAATTTTCACTAAAATTTTACAATTTAGTGATACAATCACATATGTGCTTCTTTTCCCAAATAAGAAAGGTAAAGCAGCTTCTGGAGGTAACACAATTGTTAGTAAATCGAAAATTATCCCAAAGTTATGGTTTAGTCACACATTGAGACTAAAACGGACAAACTATCAATTCAAACAGGTTCCCAAAATTCATGGTATAATTTCTATATGATCAATGTACATATGTTGGGCAGCCATTTGTTAGTTACTTGTAACACCCTGTGAGCAAATCAGTATAATCACAATGGAGATAAAACTTTGATCTTTACTTCGAGAACTCCATGTGCTTAATTTGCTTAATGTCAAACCGCGATTCCTTTGAACACCATCTATTACTCGGAATCAGAATCTGATGGTGGCATCTGGTAAGCTTCTTTTGGTTCTATGTCAGTGATGGAAGGAGGACGATCTTGGTTTGACACCGCTCTCTTCTTGTGTCTCTGATTTGGTCTATCTTGATCATCTTGGAAATTTTCATATGGTGATTGAGAAAACATATAGAAAGCAGAGGAAAATAAAAATGCGTAAAACAAATACTGTTTAACGTACAAAATGCTTATGCAAGTCCCACTGCAGTGAATTGGGCAGTCATGTATGCATACCAAAATTAAGATCACTGATGTTTATGTTTATTAGTTGTAATTATGTGTTAAAATAGGAATTAATATCGGAGATTGATGTCAACTGTAAATTGCCTTTACTAAGTATAAATAAGAAGTCGAGAAAAAATTTGTGTAGTTTTTCTTTCATTTCTATGAAATTTATACATTTGAGAGGTTCTATCTCAGTTGGGTGTGAGTTTCTTCCTCAATGGAAGCGAGTTTCTTAAAGGTTTCTTCCTTGGGAGTAGAGAATCGCATTTCTGAGTAAGAAACATCAACATAAGAAGGAAATTTTTTTGCCGCTGAGAGTGAAAAACTCAATAACTTAAGCTAAAAATGCCGATTTTACCTTTGCTGAGGGCAAGCTTCCGTCTCTACAATGAAAGTTTTTGATGAAAATATTTACATCGTAATTAATTTTTAAATTTTTTTTGACTATTTTAATATAAAATTCAAAATTCTAATGCCTCAACTCAATGCCTTGAGGGTTATGCCTCTCCTCACAAGGGAACAAATGCCTCACGCTCCGCATTTGCCTTTAAAAACTTTGGTAATTAGTAGTAGGAGGTGCCAAAAGGAGGAATGTTGGCAGTATTTTCCAAAATTATTCAGGTTTTGAGGTTGGGAACTATATAACACATAATATCAGCAGCCTCCAGGAAGTTCAACACAAAGTGAAACACAATTTCATTTTCCAAAGGAGCCATTGAATCAATATGTCCTTGAAAAATGGTGGGGGATAACTGTTAAAGAAAATTATTAGAGCATATCAATGAAGGAACACAATCATACATGAATGATTGGTGGTAAGGGAAACAAGTTCAACTAGCAAGCAATAGATTCCCAACAAAGGAACAATCATACAAGAATGAATTTGTGGTGAGGGAGATAGAAAAATCCTTCTTTAGGGTTTTTGTTTTGTTTTGTTTTTGTTTTTTTTTCTTTTTTAGTGTCAGTGAGTTTGGGTGGGGTGTTGCTTTTTCAATGAGAATGACAAGTCTAGAAATTGCAAAGCTAGAAAATGTGAATTGTTCAATGAGATGATTCAAAGATATGCTCAAAGCTATCACTTAGTACAATAATCTGTTAGGGGCAGAAATAAAATGACAATGAATAGGCAATAGCATGGTTGTCAAGAAAATAAATATAAAAAAAAAAAAACAAAAACAAAAACAAAAACAAAAAAGGCTGCTACCTACAAGGTATATGTGACTGCATTTGAACTAAATGAAGGGAAACTTTGAAGAATATGTTGGGAATGGGATTTATACCACATCCATCAATGTGAATGGAAGCACACAATGCAAACACCAAAGAGAAAAACAATTAGACACAGATTTTTGTAGTTCGGCACCAATTGCCAACATCAATGGAAGATAATACATGTGAGATGGTCAACACACTCAAAACCCATATCACTACTAGAACCCCATGATCAAGAGTAGTTGAGCCCTTGATCACTCCAGTGCCTTCACGGTATTTTTTGTCATCCCTTACATCTCTATTTTATCCTCCTCTTAATCTCGCCAAAACATATAGTCTCCATGACTATTTATAATAGTCTATCCACAAAAAAACTAGTTCCATAAAATTAAGTAACCAAAACCTACGCATTGGGTTCCCCAATGGATTCCGGACTCTACTATCCTAACCCAAATACATGTTTAAACTAACCTAACAAATGTATGTGACCCACATATATCACATGGGTGGACTTATCCTAACAGAATATCAATAGAAGTTAATAAATTAATCAAGTAAAATATTATGCAGCCAAGACATCACATATATAAAAAATAATTAGAAGAAAAATAATGATGCTGAAAAGTAGAAAAGGGAAATAAAAGACAGGACTAATCATGAGTCAGATGAATATCAATGAAATCACATTGGATTGGAGATGAAGATAATGGCTGAGGAAAAAAAAAAATCCAATAACAATGCTCCCAGGAGCACAATATGCCATGACTTACTTTTTTGCTCAGTTAAGTTTGATTATTTGATTGACTTGGGCGAGTTGATTGGCTCCTTCGTAGCCAGATGCTACCAAAAGACATCAATGCTTCCAAGAGGAAGACTGGGCCAATCCTTGGATCTCCCACACGATTGTGGATTCCATTCATGATGCTACCAATTCTTTGTTTCATTCCTATCCCTTTGGATAGAATGATTTGACACCTACTTACCAAATAGGATCTGCATCTTCAGGAACAAGTGCAGGAGTTTTTGTTCTCTGCGATGAGATAAACAGAAAAGGTTTGAGCAGACATCTTGTATGAAAGAGATGCAACTATAAGCTCCAGAGTGTATACTTCCTTAAAAAAACTACAAAGTTCAATGAATATCAATCTAAGAAGCATGGACACTTCTAAGAACGTAGCATGCCGTCTCCGACACTCACTGGACACCTAAGTAGCACAGGTGTGGGTACTGGTATGCTGATACGGCAAAACCTTAAAAAAAAAAAAAAAAAAAAAAAAAAAAGGACACCTAAGTAGCACAGATGCGGGTACTGGTATACTGATACGGCAAAACCTTAAAAAAAAAAAAATATGGGTACGGCTGGAGTATGTCAACAAATTTTTTATTTTTCATTTATAGTTTGAGATTCAACCTACAAATCAAAGTTTAATACCAAAACTAAAAGGCGAAATTACAAAACCAAAAGAGAAATCACAATTCAACTATACCAATATCAAAGCAAAGTCTATAAGCTATTTTAATGCCATTAAATATGATAAATTACAAAACAAAGTTTCATTCCAAAAGCAAATTAAGAAAAATTTGGAAACTTGAAACATCAATTTACACTTTCATCAACCTCATCATTGAATACTCTATATTTCATCTCTGACACATCAAGTAAAAGATTTGCAATTTCAAGTAAATCACAACTCTCTAATAAATTAAATGTGTCACCACCAATGTCCCATAGCTTGGTGTACCCCCGATGTACCCATCATGGACCTACGAACCCAGTAAGTATTTCAAGTACCCTGATATGCATGCAACCCTAACGGTACACGTACCAGTACCCTGTAAGTACCTGGTATGAGTATGGCAATATTTTCGGAGTACCCTTGCTTTCTAGCCAGACACTTTCCAACACTTAGACACTAATGAAACATACTACGAGTTTGAATAAATAACTTGGAATATAATGATACAACAAAAATTAAGTAAATTTATACCTGTTCTCCTCCTTTATACTTCAAAAATGAATATATTTTCCTTAAATATTCATATTTATGACATGATAATTATTTATCATTATATATGACATAGGGTTGATAAATAAATAAATTATATATTTTGCAAAAGTCCTGAACGTGTCGTGTCCTACATTTTTTAAAAATTTTCATGTAGGTGCATCAATGTCGTGTCACGTGTTTGTGCTTCTTAGGTATCAATAATGGAGTGAAGGTAATTAAACCCCTCAGCAAAATATACAAATTCATCCATTCAAGCACCAAAAGGAAGCTTAATTCTAAAAAAAGCTTGTCCATGTTAACTTACAAAAAAGGGGAGCTCCCTAGAGTTACCATCTTCGATTATTTGAGAGATCCACTTGATGATCTGCCAACCAAATAAAATAGAAACAACTCAACGTGAAAAGGTGCACTAAACCACAAAGAATGTTGCATTTGCATTAACTGCTCAATACAGAGTGAAACATATCTCAATAATTGAAACATGTAGTAAAATCCATCTCACAACAGATCGAAGGCCAAACCTCTGAACTTTCTTCAGAACCATTGTACCTCACAAGAAGTTGTGATGCAGGATCCACACCGTCATTCAGAAATGCCTTCAACATGTTTTTTGGCTTTTTTCCCCTCAATTTTAATACTATCTTCGGTAGCATTCCTTTTGTAACGTACAATAATTAACTATGGTACATCCGTTATATCCCTCCTAGGTCCACATGTTTCATAGCTGTTCTCCGTTTGAGTGTGGAAAAACAATATCGTTGGAGAAGAGAAATTTAGTGACTAATACAGTTGCAAAAGATCATTTGTTAAATGTTCCAGCATAGTATAGTCCATCATGATCATTATTAATTAAAATATTATAATCCATAATTAGTAAGCACACATACTTTCTACATAAAAAATAAAAAATAAAAAACCTACAAATGGTTCTAGAAATAATAATGGAGAGATAGAAAGATTATTCCTTCAATTGCATAAAGCAGAAAGCAAACAACCTCTAATCATATGTACAATGCTGTTGCAATGACATCTTACACAATTACTATTGGAGTTTATGAATAATTTTCACCTTTGCAATATAATACTCAATGCCTCACATACGCTACCTGGTGAACTTTGTTTAATTTTTATTATATACCACCTTCTGTTTCCTACACTAAATAGCTTGACCTACAAAATAGCATTATTTGTATAGATGGAGAGGAATCACATTCTTTGTACATATGCCTTGATCACAAAAATTCATTCTATATACTTTCTACACTTCTTTGTATTTCATTGTTTGAGATGAATCCTATACATAGAGCTCGATCCACAGAACAGAATCAACCAACAAGAGTACAAAATTTTTGTGAAAGATAACCTCCAAAGTTTTTAAAATGATCAAGAATCATAATGAAAAACTTTCACCTTCTTTGGTTTAGTTTATGAATTGCTTTTGAGAATTTTTGTTTTTCAATTTTTTTTCTTTTTGGGGGGAGGGGGGTTCTTTGGTGTATTAGATGCGTCTAATCTAGATGCACTTAAAAAATAAAATATTTGTACAAAAATATTGTCACGCCCCAAAATAAATACATAAATCCATCACTTTAGACATGCATTGATACAAAAGAAATTAACCATTTCTATTCATCAGAGTAATTCTTACAACAGTATTACATGTTAACAACAAAAGCAAGTGCCCTATAGGCTTACAGCTTTCCAAGTCAACACTTGGTTACACAAAAGAAGAGTACTAACTCTATACAAAATAAGTCCTTGGCTTGATATACATGTAATACAAATAAAACAATCAAAAAGAGTCTTCAACTCTCATCATCATCCAAGCTATGTCCTTGGAGGTGGCATGCTACCTGTACCTCAAAATAATGTCCCATATAGGGTGAGCCAACGCCTAGTAGAGATATGCTAAACACAGTATGAACAATGACTAAGACATTAGCAATTGATAAATGTTCAATTTCCACCAATCAGTTCATAATCCGTTTCCATTTCATCTTTCATGTCATAACAGTTTCACGATTTACACCAACGGCTCAGAACCTGGCCACCCACTTGTATGAGACAATAACTCATATTAAACTTTTCCCCTTTTTACAATAGATAAACATATTAGTTGTATCAACATCTCAACAGATAAGCATACAAGCTGTATCCACATTTCAACAGATAAGCATATTAGCTATATCAACACTTCCAAAGATAAGCATATGAGCTGTATCAACACTTACATAGATAAGCATATGAGCTGTATCAACACATTATCTGACAAGCATATGAGCTGTATCAGTGGAGTCCATCCCCTATCTCCTCCCAAACAATATCCGGTTTAAAGGTCCATCCCCTATCTTCCCATAAACCGTGGAGTATATCCCCTATCTCCTCCCACACACACAAAGTATATACACATAGGTCATATACACAATCAATCAATACATAACGATAATGTATTCTATCAACCGTCATACTCTATGACATAACCAATTGATTAGTTTTAGTTTGCCTAATCATCATGCATTGTTTACAACAATCAAAACTACTCTCCACCGGTAGCCCAAGCAATTATTTCTAAACAGATAATAAAAGCTTCAACAGATAAGACATCGATGTTATCAAGAGTGAGCAATTAAAGAATCCAACTCCACCATTTCATCACATAATGAACCAATTTCATTATTTACAACTTAATTTCATAAATCCATAACTTTTCCAAATTAATTATACCAATCAATTTACATACAAATTAGGGCATTCTCCCCCATTTTCCAATAATGACCCAATGGTCCATGTTTCATCAACCAACAACCACACCACTATTTTGAAACCCAAAATACTCCTTTTAGAATCAAAATAATAAAACCCACTTTTAACATTTTGAAACCCTAAGTCCCAAAATCCCCCAACTTCAACACTTTATCAAAATAACCAAAAATCTATGTCAAAGACCATAAGAGTGAGTAGGAATCCCTACCTCAAATTCGGAGCTCAAGGGAAGAAGATGACGGAACTCAACGTGCTCCAAAACTCGAAATTTTCGTATCAAAAGAAGGCCCTCGACGATCAACCCAACTTTTGTAAAGATCAAAGGTGAGGAAAACACCCTAGCTAGATCAATACCTAGAGAGAAGTTGGAGTTCTAGTGAGAGAAGCTCTCTAATGGAGGTTTGGAAAAGTAGGAGAGAGAAAAAGAGTTGAAAAAGTGATCCAAAAGTCGGATCTCGGATTTAAATAAAAGTCTCCCCGCTCGAACGTCAAAACCCCCGCTCGAGCGTCACTCACAGACTCCCGCTCGAGCTTCAACAATCCCGCTCGAGCGGCGGATACACACTCCCAGAACTTTTTACTGAACCAGGTCTCCGCTCGAGCGTCAATTCTCTCGCTCGAGCGTCACACGCAACATCCCGCTCGAGCGTTAACATCCCCGCTCGAGCGTACAACACTGCAGAGGAGATACTGGGAGATGGAGAAATACGCTCGAGTGCCGAAACTCCCGCTCGAGCCGACAAACAACAACGAAGGGCCCGCTCGAGCGTGAAGGCCAAAATCTGGGCAACTACTCTTGGTTTCTAAGTTTAACCAACCTGTTTCAAACCTGCCCAACACAGCCCAAGACTCGAATACAAGGAGTAAAGGATGTAAACAAGACATACACAATAACTAACTCCACGGAACCTAAGTCCGAACACAATGATTAAAGGAAGGGAAACCGGGATCGCTATAACCTCCCCCCCTTAAAGAATTTCGTCCTCGAAATTTAAACACAAGTTTTCAAAAACAAGTTTTTCCCCATTTTCAACAACATTACAGCAATTATATTACAACATCCCGACCCATTACCGGTCATCTTATCTCTTTTAAGAGACAAATCACAACATTTTTCCACAACATGCATTATAAACATGCATTCCCTGGAATTCCACAGTTTTCAACACATTTTTCACCATTTTACAATGCCTGCAACATTTATATCATGCTTGCATTTCTACAATACATTTAACATATTCAATGTTAAAACAAACTTCCATTAATCACAACATATACAATGTTCCACAACTTAACACATATTTAATGCTCTTAAGGTTCAACACTATTACAAAATTTACAATATGTAATTATTCATCAATAAACACATCCGGATACTTTTCACGGACTTCCAACTCACGTTCCCAAGTGGCTTCCTCCACTCCGTCATGTTTCCACAAAACTTTTACCAAGGGGATAGTCTTGCCACGCAGGACTTGATCCCGCCTATCCAAGACCCGAACCGGTCTCTCCTCATACGAGGCATCCTCATCTACCTCTAAGTCGGTCCAATCTAACACATGGGATGGATCCGGCTCGTACTTCCGAAGCATACTAACATGGAATACTTCATGCACCCCGGACAACTGCGGTGGCAAAGCCAAACGATAAGCAACTTCCCCAATCCTCTCAAGGATCTCAAAGGGACCGATAAACCCAGGGGATAACTTCCCACTCTTCCCAAACCTCATCAAGTTCTAGTGAGAGAAGCTCTCTAATGGAGGTTTGGAAAAGTAGGAGAGAGAAAAAGAGTTGAAAAAGTGATCCAAAAGTCGGATCTCGGATTTAAATAAAAGTCTCCCCGCTCGAACGTCAAAACCCCCGCTCGAGCGTCACTCACAGACTCCCGCTCGAGCTTCAACAATCCCGCTCGAGCGGCGGATACACACTCCCAGAACTTTTTACTGAACCAGGTCTCCGCTCGAGCGTCAACTCTCTCGCTCGAGCGTCACACACAACATCCCACTCGAGCGTCAACATCCCCGCTCGAGCGTACAACACTGCAGAGGAGATACTGGGAGATGGAGAAATACGCTTGAGCGCCGAAACTCCCACTCGAGCGGACAAACAACAACGAAGGGCCCGCTCGAGCGTCAAAAGCCCCGCTCGAGCGTGAAGGCCAAAATCTGGACAACTACTCTTGGTTTCTAAATTCAACCAACCTGTTTCAAACCTGCCCAACACAGCCCAAGACTCGAATACAAGGAGTAAAGGATGTAAACAAGACATACACAACAACTAACTCCACGGAACCTAAGTCCGAACACAATGATTAAAGGAAGGGAAACCGGGGTCGCTATAAATATGAAATTGTCTTCAATCAACTTTTTCACATTTTTTTATAAATATTTTAAAATTCAAGTGCATCTAAAATAGGCAGATCTAAAAATAAAAAATACAAAATACAAAACTAAAATATGAAGAAAAAAATTCACTGAAGACAAAATAAAACAAAACAAAAAAACTCAAAAACAATATTGAGTTCCAAAAGTTGGTTTGAACTCAAATAGGATAACAAGGAATGATGAATACTTTTAATTGGCCATGCCTCACATGGAGAACATAGTCTCATACACCAAACAATTGATATGCTTTGCACTAGACATGCCATGGCTAAATTTGTATTTACCAAAGCTTTTAAATGTGAATGCGTAAGTTTTTAAAATAACCAAGAATCAACACAGAAGCATTTAAAATTTAAAATTTTTATATATAGTGAGAAAAAGTTATTTAAAATTAAATATAAATGTATGTATAAATACTTTTCTCCTCAAGGTGTTGTTGAACATTTCATTACAGAATAGGAAACTTGCCCTCATCGAAGATGAACTTGACATTCTTAGTTTCAGTTATTAAACTTCTTACTTGAGTCTTAACTTTATATTTTTTTCTTGGTTTTTTCCCCGGAATATGATTGCTACAAAAGAGGTTCTTATTTTTTATGTTTAAATTTAAACTAGGTATTAGATCATCAAAAAAAAAAAAAAAAAATAGATATTATAATAAGCTTAATAACAACCCAAGACAAGCTCCCCATAGATGTACTGTTACATAGACTCATGTACGAGTATTGGGTGTAGGTGTGTATCCAAGCGTCAGACCGTCATAAATTTAAATCTTGAGATACATATCCAAAATTGGATAATTAGATATGGGTACGGGAACACGTCATATGCACATATATATTGCATATTATATGATACTCTCGGGTGAGATGTTGTAAATTGTGTAGAAATATAGTAGAAATTAAATAGGATATAGGAAACATATGAAATTTCTATATCTAATTTATGTGAGGCTAAAAATATTCCTTTACTAACAAATGTCACTTTTTTCTTTATGTATTCTCGTAAATTAAAGGATCTGGGTGTTTAAATTGGGTGCGAGTGTCGAACACATATCCCACACCCTTACCCATGTCATATCTAGTGGCTATGAGTACTATGGGGGAAATAAAAGAGTCCATGTAACACAACTCCTCATATTTATGCACAAAATGAGTACAACGTGCACATGAGTTGCACGCCTCAAACTGTGATGTGCAAGTCTTTGGAGAGTTTGGCCTAAAAATAAAAAATAAAAAATAAAAAACTCAATGCATTTTACCTTAGCCTTGCCTCGAAATGAGCCTCAATACATCTTTTAAATACACAATATATCTGTATAAACATGACATATTGTAGGATTTGTGGCTCAAATCATACATTAGCTTTCTAAGATTAATAACACATATTTTGAAAGATTATTAAAAAGTACTTGATTTTTTAATTTTTTTTTTTAAAGAAAAAGAAAAAAAAGAGCCATAAAAATGAGAATTACATCTTAAAATTCCAAATCAGTGACAAGCCTCTCTAATCTTCTAAAACAAACCATATGCAGATGTCAAAAGATTTATGAATGCAATTGGATTCTTGGACATTTCCAAAAGTTTCAAGTAGAAATTCTCAGCTGCTTACAGCACGGGAGTATAGCGCATAAGGAAGTTGTGACCATTTTTTTGATACCCTGCATTTGCAAGGCCAAAGGTCACATGTGGTTTTAGCATTTTATGTTTCAGAATTAATCCTGCTATTAGATTGAATGATTTATAATGTAAATAATTTCATATTATTTTATGGCAGTATAACACTGTCAGAATTTATAATAGCAATAATCACTGACTACCTTTTCCAACTTAGGCCACCATTTGGATTAAGATACTGGCACTTTGGCAAAAATATTCCAATGCCAACAGTGATTCCAACTAAGTTCGACAGAGAATAAAATTTCAGAATAAATTGTGACCAAGTACCATACACATCACATACATGACCCTCAAATTAATTAATCCATTCACTACGACAAATGTGAATTGAACTACAACTAAACTTGGAAAACATTGACATGCCTGACAAACAAATGGTGACACTTGTTGGGCTTCCCCATCAAGCCAGGTAAATATCAACCGCATTTCCTTCAGTGCAACAGCCGCTAGCGATGACGGCTGATCTTTATCAACCATGGATAGTGCTTCTTGGATCCTGCGCAGAGTCTTTATCATAGTAATTTACTCCACGTAGTAAACTAGAAGAATATACTAGCATTTGGGCATGCATTCTGTGTCATAACTTCGAATGAACATCAGGATCTTTGCCAGGATTCAACAACTAAAGTTCTTTCATATTCTGTGTTTTCTTTCTCACCGCTTTCTCTACTAATTTTTTTTTTTTTTTTGAGTTACCTTTTCTATTTTTTCTTAGGTAGTTTTCTATATTAATTTATGAAAATTTGTCTTCGAAGTTTAGAAAAATTAGCTGATATCACTAGACAATGATTTCCCAACAAAGTAGCTAAATCATTTCTAGGAAATAACTACCAAGTAGGGATTTAATTTAACATAACAAGCAGGCCAAACAAACTCACTGCATGCATTCTGTTGAGTTCTGGTTGATCTTCCTGCTAGAATAACACAGTACCAAATCGCTGTTTCATTTCCAGCACGAGAATAGCCACAGGCATCACAACCCAGCTCCATGGACGTCACACTTCTCAATTGTGGAAGCTCCAAAAATAGGGAACGGAGATTCACCAATTGTGGAAGCTCCAAAAATAAGGAACGGAGATTCACAAAATCTTAGAATGTATAATCTGGGGTTGTGTTATACATGTATATGTAAATATATCCCAATAGGTATGTATTATAGGCATAGGAGTATAGACATAGTTATATCTTCATGTAACTTCAAAGCTATGTTACATGCACTCGGAAACGGGTATCAGGTGCCTGCATGTGCTGAACGATCAAGTTCATCAAACCTTTTATGTCCAAGGACACCAAAACACAACTAGATTCATATACTCTCAAGGGGATGCTGCCCATGTTTTACGCTATAAGAACCAAAAAAATACAAAAAAAAAAAACAACTCCTATACATCAATATATTCAAATTTCTCAACAAAATTCAAAAAAGGATTCAATGAAGGTTCTCGAGATCCAATTGTAAAAGATGGTTAGAATTTTACTCTTTAAAACAAAAATGGAAGTCTTAAGACTCTTTTCTTTTCTTTTCTTGATAATAAGCAAACTTTATTGAAAAAGCATTAGGACGATACAAAGAATATAAAACCAAAAGCAAGCCAAAAACATATACAAGAGTAAAACAAAACAACTACGGAATCAAGTCCTCTACGAAGTCAACAAAAGTTAGCACATCCAGGTCTATTGATAACGATATCTAGCCATGGAACACAGTGAACAAACGCCGTTCCAACCATGGCACCAAACGCGTCCCCTCCAAAAAAACTCGCCTGTTACACTCCAACCAAACCAACCACATCAAACAATGGCCAGCAAGCTTCCATGCCTTCCGACATCTCTTTCCAACCCTTTCCCCAGCCCCACTCTGTAACACTGCCATCACTGACCATGGTTGAACCCAAGGAAAACCGAAAATAGCACCAATAAACATCCAAAGACGTGAAGTAATCGGACAACAAACAAGCAAGTAATCCACCATCTCCGCATACCCACAACACATGCAACACAGTTCACTAAAATATGACCGCGACAAATCAGATTATCAAAACTTCTTCTATCAAGCTCCCTCTAGATGTTCCAAAATAAAATGGGAGGTCCTAACCGCCATTCACCTCTTTTTTCTCTTTTCAACTCTGGCTACCCTCCAAGAAAGCAAAAGGTCCCAAACATTTGAAGGGAAGACCCCAACCATGTCAAACAAGACTAAAAGTAAGGCCCAAATGTCCCAAAAGATGTGATCCCTCTCCCTCCACATAATCACTAACAACAACCCATCTATCAATTGCTATTTGTCTAGAGCTAGACAGGCCAGCTCTAACTCCTCTCCACAGCAAAGATGTCACCAAAACTGAATCCTCAAACACAAACTTCACATGATGGTGAAAAACATACCCAACCTTCCTAATACCCTTTCAAAGGCCCACACCGATGCACAAAAACCTCCAAAGACATCCAATAACCCTGCCTAAACCCATATTTTGTCTACATAAACCTTCTCCAAAATTTGTCCCGCTCACACACAAAACTCCATAACCACTTTCCCAAAAGAGCTTGATTGAAGATTTTAAGACGTCAAATCTCCAACCACCTACTCAAATAAGGGAGCGAACCGCATCAAATCAACCAAGTGGTTCAATATATCCCCCAGCCCACCCTAAAGAAAGTCCCTTCACAACTTTTTCAACCACTTAGCCACTAAGACTGGAATGGTAACCACAAAACCAAACCAAACTAAGCATTGTGTCCCAATTGAGTGGAGTCGGCTACATGAATTCTTTTGTTCTATTCCGCTAAGTCAAAGGCTATATGACTGATTAAATTTAATAAATTAAATCATTTTTTACTACAACATCACATGTCAGTTTAGATCTTCCCCTCCTAACGTTTTCATTTATGGTGATCATATCACTTTTACTTACTGTTTCATCTACAAATCTTTGATGCACATCACATCACAACCATCTTAATCATCGTATGGCTATCACCTTTTTAAAAATAGAAAAAATATATATATATATATCAAACTTAACCTAAAATTAATTCATCTAAAAAACCAACAAGGAATTCTCTAAAACAATTGCCAAACTCCAATTAATTAAAGGAATCACTAAAACAATCACTCACTTTTTAATTCATGCACTTCAACCTCAAAAATTTTGTAACACCACTACTTTCAAATACAACACAATATGCACAACGTTAAGGTTCAAACATTCACAAGTGGGGATCAAAAACCCTGATATTTGCACTGAGGTTCATAAATATTTCTCCCTTTTTTACTTGTCCTCCCTTCCTCCCTCGGAACATGTTTTAAGTCAACTCGAAAATGTTGATATTTCTGCTAACAAATCTGTGACTTTCTCATTGTTTTAACAATTAGTTTCAAACTTTTTTATGGTATATCGTAGCATTATTATTATTTTTTATTTAAGAAAGCTAACATATTCTGACTAAAGCCAAGAATTTACATATATGTAAAGGGATTTAAGAAACACAAAACTGACTCCTTGGCAACCCTATGTCAGAATGCGGATTGAAAATTTTGATGAGACTATCCTGTGTTTTGCTCTGTCCTTTTTTATCGTGTATCCTCCATGTTTTTATAGCTTAATATATTAAAAAGGTTGTATTTACGCCTTGGTTCATAGAAACAAATAATGCTTTGTCTAATCTCTCGTCCATGATAACCATAATCTCAACATAGAACAACTTACGAGCATTTAGTAGACCACAAAAGTAAACTAAAATCAGCTAAAGGATATCCATAATAATATTTGTATAATAGCACAACCCATTGGAACCAATAAACACAACCTAGTCAATTTCCCATTAACTCTCAAATGCAGACACAAGATGAACCCTCACAAGCAACTTTGCAGGATGCATTGTTGAGTCATTTATTCTACTATGTGGGAAAAGTGGTGGACACTCTGCAGGCTTATACTCTCGAAAATCTAAAGAAAAAGGGTTACTTTATAAGGAGGACCACATTTGACAAAAGACTCTACCACAAATTTACACAACATGGAAAAAAAAGGTTGCAACACAACATCTCAATAAATGAAAACAAAATCATAACCTGACAAGTTCTGTACAATTCGATTCATGTGAAGGAAATTATCAAGGAAGATTTCTACATAGGAAAACATGTACTGAGGAAAAACTTCATAGTCATAAACATTTGCACTTGTCAATCACATGAGGTTTACTTGCACGAAAAATGACTTAGACCCCTAGTAGGGGTGCTGGGGGTCTTCCTGATTGGCCAAATTTTTTTTTTTTTTTTTTTGGGTTTCAGCCAGTGGCAGGCTGCCACGTGGAACTGGGGGGGTCACTGGGGGTGCCCCCAGCTGGGGGTCGGAAGCACTGCTGTTACTTGCACATTAGAATCACTGTAACAAGCCATTTACACAATGGTTGAATTGAACTCACTCAAGTAACATGACCGGGCAAATTTTGTTATAGTGTCAAGGCCCTAGATTATAAAACTTGATAAAGTAAAAACCAACAGCATTACCTTGATGTTTATTCTGTTCCATTATAGCTACAAACCATGAATTGTCGTGCAGATAATGTGCACTGCTTAGCTTGTTATGTACATACACATTATTTATGTTACAAAGAGTAGCAAGAAAGACAATGAAACAAAATAAAAAGAGTGACATACCATGGTACACAACATGTTTGATTCCATGTTCTTTCAAAAATACAATTGCAGGTGCAGATTCCACTCCAAACCTGTTGTTGATAATAAGAACACCGTCAAGGTCATACACCATTTTGGGAAAAAAGAAACAAAAAAGTAGAAAAAGGAAAAGAAAATTTCAGAAAAGAAATGCAGATTAAACATGAAAAGCAGTGTTGTCAGAATCGTAATGAAAAACATATATGTATTGCGGATTCATATGATGGTGGATTGAATCGTGAGATACGTTTTGTATTGTATCGATTTCATATTGCATCCAAAAAAAAAAAAAAAACCATACCAAGGAAGGAGACCCAAATCCAAGTAAACCCTCAAAGCAAAAATGACTTCCATACAATACTCCCTCTGCTACAAAAATTTGAACAACTATCATGGATCTAATTTGGGTGAAAGAAACGAAGAGCTTTTTACACACAAAGACCATTTGGATTTGGATTGGGGTTGGGGTTGAGACCCAAGATTTGGGCCGAAAGCCTTGTTTGGATTATGACCATATACCTCATAACAAACGAGTATGTTTAAGCTACTCATCCAAACAAGTCCTAATGATTGTCTTTGATTGCAAACTGGGAACCAAACGGACTAGCCTAGCATGAAGAAGTTGGGCCCAAATTGAAAAACAAAAATTTTTGTGTTATTTACTTAATTGATTATATTAACGGTCTTTGTAGTTTAAGATTTATGTCATTTTAATTTTTAATTTTTAAATTATGATATATTTAATTTTGAATTTGAAATTTTGCTTCAAATAAAAATAATTAAAGATGTTTTTTTTATATAAATGGTCTATTTTAAGGGCAAAGTCGCTATACAATTTATTTTGTATTAGTTAACATGTTGTTTAAATGTAATGACTTTTTTTTTTTTAATATTGAATAATGCTGAATTTTTTTTTTTTGGTTATATATCTCATAACATGTATGTTTAAGCTACTCATCCAAACAAGTCCTAAAGAAGGTCTTTGATTGCAAACTGGGAACCCAACGAACTAGCGTCAACAAGTTGGGCCCAATTGAAAAACAAAACCTTTTGTGTTATTTTTAGAGGGCTACTATTCGAATCAACCTCAGTAAAATTTTGAGTTAAATTGCAATTTAAAATTTACTTTTGTATTTTAGTTAATTTCTTTTTAAAATTTTATTTCATTAAAATATTATTCTACTTTTGTATTTTAAAATTCTGTAAGACCTAAACTATAAGAACCATTAGTGTAATTTGCCCTTTAACAAATTACAATTTTATCATTTTAACACAAGACTCGTTGAAGTTGTTCATATTTTCAAGTCTTTATAACTATATTTTTTTATCATATTTTGTTTACTATCTCAATCTCATACATCAACACTGCATTGATAACAAATATAAGTGGTAAGATCTATTAAACTAATACAATATTAACACATGAGATAATAAAATTTATACATAATTTTCATGCATAATAATTATTGAAAAAGCTTGTCGTGGACTTTTGTTTTCCAGTCTACAAAACATTAGTAAAAAATATTTTGAACCCAAATAAACAAAGCATAAATAATAAATATAATATAATAATTATAATATCATTGAATATTTTATTATTTAAAATCATTTGGAGATCCTTTAATCAATAGCTAATTGTAGCTATTGGCTTGGTGTTGAACTAAAATAGCCAACAGTTAGACGAGTTTGATAGAATACATCTTTTATCAATTTACGCTATAAAATAGCTAACAAAAAGAACACATTGAGTTTGATGTTGATGCTCTTAGCACCTATATTAATTTTTTCGGTATATTAGTTTTTTGAACTCTTACCCGAAATTTTAAATTTCAATAAGATTTCTTTTAACACCTCACTTAATACTAAATTTATTCATATTCATAATATCATCACACCCAAGTGCACACCCATCTAATTTTTCACATCCTCCATTATGGTTGAAGACGATCTCTCTCCTGTTGAAGAACGACGACAATTTCTCTCTTGTTGAAGAATGACAACGACGATGGTCCCTTTCTTTGATTTATTTGAAATCAGTGAACGACAGTATCCATTTTATCAAAATTATTGCGTCATGGCATCATTGTTGTAAAACTGAGCCACAATCACACCAATGGTCGACCACCCGGTCATTCGGCCAATTGTCCCCCTCCCCCAAGGGTTGGTTTAGCACTATGTTGTCAAACATAAACAATTTTGTCAGTATTGTGTTGCCGAACATAAATTATTTTCTCAACACTGTGTTACGAAAAATAAACAATTTTTCTAGCACTGTGTTGCCGAACAACGTTTGTTCAGTACGATATTGCTGAACATAAATAATTTTTTCAGTACTGTGTTACCGAACAACATTTTTTTAGCATTGATTTCAATTCAGACATCCATTCCAATTCAATCACTGATTTCTAGTTTAGGGTTTAGAATTGTAATGAAAATGAATACGTTTAAGGTTTAGGATGGTGATATAGAGGAATATGTCGAGTTTAGGATGGTGATGAAGAGGAACGTTGATGGAGAGGAATACGTTGGGTTTAGATGGGTAAGGAATACATTTAGGTGAGGGAGGTGGGTGTACAATATTGTAGGGTTGTCTTTATTTGGTGGGTGAGTGTTCCACTAACGATTGTTATTTAATGTAATTTTACTTCAGGGTATAATTATAATTTTAAAAAAAAAAGTAGGAATTGAGACGTCTAAAGAAATTAGGTAGGTGCTAATAGCAGCTCTCTATTTTTATATATGCTATGAAATCTCATTAATCTTTCTATTATATTAAATTTTGAATTTTCTTTCCAATTTCTTTGGTCATATCCAATCTTTCATCAAATATTTCATCAAATTGATATCAAATGAAAGGAGCACTATATTTTTTCATCAAATCAATGGAGATTTTATTCTTTCGTCAAATTTTGCAAGTGGTCGTTGGTGGATGATCAGTCAGACAACCTTCCGAACAACCGGTTTTTGGAATGAATTAGGAATTTTGTAAAAAAATTTGATGAAAATTTACACTTCATCGGATGGCCCGCAGGTTGATTGGTTGGACGACTGACCGAGTCATCATATCAGATCAAATTTTTTATCAAATTTTTACTCAAATTTGATAAAGCGTTAGAGATGCTTTTATGAGTTGGATATTTGGGTTTCTAATGAACGCATATTTACCTTTTTGTCCAATTTGTAAGTTTTTAAAGATTATTTTTCATGTCATTAGTTATATGCCTTAGTTTTTTTTCAATATTTGAAAAAAAAAATAATGCTAGGGTCATAAAAAAAATATCATTAAATGCTCAAATCCTGACAACTTTAAAGCTATGCAGTATGGACTCGGGTAGATTATGTCACAAGAAAAATTAAATAACTAAGCAAATATTATCTAGTGAAAATGATATGTTATCAAAACTTAAGATTTAATTGTTAGTAATTTTGCATTTCAAAAAGAGAAAAATAAATTTCGAATAAAAATTATAATGGTGTTAAATTTTTTTTTAAAAATCTCGTTTAAAATTAGCCCTTTAGCTCCCTCACCTATACTTTTCATGCCGCAAGTAAGTAAACTTGCAGTGAGGTCAGTGATCTTTCTTTTAATGGCATCGATATCACTTCTGACCCTTTGAACCGGTGGTCGTATGTTGAAGATGCATACAAATCTTTGTTCAACTTTGTTGGTCACTCCATATAAGAATTTTAATACAATTCCGAGTTTGTTTATAATGAAGGACACAACAAGCACTTCTACTCTCGTTTGATTTGTTTGGGATCTTGGAATAAGGTAATTTGCTTCACATATTAAATGGATTGTAGAGTCAATTTTTGGCCCACTTAAGTAATTTCAATTGAACCTTTTAGTACTCGTCAAGCATACCGGTTATGCAAAAATTGGGTTGATCTTATAGTAATACTCAGATGATTAGATGACATTTATCTCACGATTTTAAGAATAAATTGTTACTTTGTTTTAGGGTGATTTAGATCTCAGTAAAATAAATAAAAATAAATTATATAGACATTGAATGAAGCAATTCTGCCTTGTATCCCATCATACAAGGAATTGCACCCCTATATGTTTTACACATTTTTTTTTTGGTCTTCTACCCTCCATTAATACTTCCTATTTTTTATTTTTTTTTATATATAATGCAATTGTGATTTAATAAATAGTTATCAATCTTTGATCAATTTAATTTTTTATAAAAAATAATCTACTCGAGAGACAATAAAAATTTCAGAGCACCAAAATGGGTTTGGAATAATCTGACGTAGTCTCAAAAGAGCTCTAACAACTGCCGAACATTCAAGCCATATACGTAACAAATATAAAAGTTAAAGGTCATTTGATCATTAAAATCATATTTAATTTCGTTAATGATCGGATTTCTGTAATTTTATCTCTTTATTTATTTATTGGTTTCTTCTCATATTGTTATAGTAATCTAGTCGCATGGTTCATGTATGCTATCTTTCTAACATTATCACATAATTAAGATAAATAATTAGAAAAGTATGAAACAATAAGGAGACAGATCATCTAGACTAGTTAATTATAGGGTTCTTTACAAACTCTCTAAATTATTGAGAAGTATCACTTTAAACCTCTAAATTATAAAATGTATAAATGAACCTTCTAAACTATTGAAAAGTATCACTTTTCACCCCTAAACTATAAAAAAAAAAAGTATAAATAGGCCCCAAAAACTTTTATAATTTAAGAACATTTGTACAGGTAATGGAGTTAATTAAGCAGTGTGATGTTCTTTAAATATACAATGTATTTTATAATTATTTGAAAAGCAATTAGGTAAAGCTGCTTTATATCCTTTAACTTTTAAAAGGAGATTCCGATTATGAACCTATCAAGAAGCATGAAATAAAAATAAATAAATAAATAAAACCTCTTTCTTGGAAACACCACCCAAAATTCTAAGTTTTAAAAGTGCTGAAAAATGATATTCATAGAAAATTTTTGACAAAAGTAATATACACTGACATACATGTATTTTTTTATATATATAAACCACATCAATGGCTCTTTTGATTTGAATGACAATATCAGCAATTACCATTTTATTCTGTATTAATATTACGTACTTTATGGTTTAGAAGGTAAAATAATATTTCTTAATAATTTAGGAGGTCAATTTATACACTTTTGTGATTGAGGAGATCAAAATGATATTTGTAAATAATCCTTAATCATACCAGCCCCCATTTACTGAATTATTTGGAGCATCTCGGCTGCTATAGCTATTTTTTAGCATGAAGGTCAGTTTTTTAAATTCCAATGATTAGGCAATATTTTATCAATTGTTATAACTTGTGTCATATTTGACACAAAGTTTAGCTATAGCTAAACTTTTTTCGTTTGGTAAAAAAGGGAATTTTATTGATGAAAACAAATATACAACATAAGAGTTTACATCAATAAAAAAAAGGAAGGAAAGAACAAAAAGTATCATAGCGAACTTCAAAATCCCAACTA